GGGGGGGGGGGGGGGGGGGGGGGGGGGGGGGGGGGGGGGGGGGGGGGGGGGGGGGGGGGGGGGAGGGGAGGTCGCGGGGGCGGGAAAAGCAGCAGGAAGACAAAGAGGAAGCGGGGGAGGGAAGGGGGCGGGAAAAGGGGATGGCGGGAGGCCTCGCATGGCTTCCGCCGGGACTGGATTGGGGAGACGCAGAGGTAGTCACGCGCCGATCGAGCGACCTAACGCAGGACGTCAGTGAGAGGAGAAACCGCGCTCAATCCGCGCAGGGAGGTCGGGAGCCCGACGCCACCCGGTGCAGTTCCTCATCCCGTTGCAGAACGGCGGCCCCTCCCTTACTCTCTTCCGCTCTGCTCCCCTCTCTTTCGCTTCGGCCATTGCCTTTCTTCCTGTTTACGGCTTCCAGAAGGGTGTTTAACTATTGTCTTCCCCCGAATAAAACGCATGGTCATTATATCTGTATCGGGGGCAACCTTCAGTCTAGATACCACGATAATGGCCGTACGTTCTATTCAGGTGAAGACGGTATTGGGTCGACCGCGACCTCCACACTCCCAATCGAACATGCCACGCCTGTTGGCAACGGCACGACGTCGTCTTGATACAAAGAATCTTGGAACTGCATTGAGAAAGCCGAATATCCTTTGTCAATTGGGCCTCGCTCCACTGCTCACCAGTTGCCCAAAAGACAGAAGATATGGCGATGCATCTGCCCATGTTCCAGCGGAAAATTCATTCTCATTTTCCACATTTGGGGAGTAGTGCAGCGACGCCCAATGACGTATTGCTCTTTGTCTAGGTAACAAATAAACAAACAAACAGCTCATCGCGCTTCTCTGTAAACCTGATGAGAGTCCGTCGCACCTTGACTCGAGGTTGGCTAGGTAGCCACTTCGTTCGTCCCCTTCGCCTCTTCCTCCTCATCCCCAATCAGCAGGCCCCTTTGTCGCCATCGCTACGGTAGTGCGCACTCCGTTATCCTCTGTTGGTTTGTGGGGCTGACGTGGCATTGCTTAACCATTGATTACTTAAGCTAAGCGGGTGTTTTTCTGTGCATTTCATCTTTTTGCCACGTGGGGCAGATTGCATTTTTCTCTCCCTCCCACCCTCTCCCTCCACTCACTGATCTTGGCCCTTCGATCGCTTCGACTCCAAGCATGATAGAGCGGGCGATCCTCGCCTCCCTTTTTTTTTGACTAAACCTCTCTCTCTGTGTCTGGCTGGGTCTTTTGAGTCCACCTCATTCTCAATGCACCTTCGGAATCAGAGTGCAATTTGAAACCTCAAAAGGCCTTCATTCTTCTCTATACTCTCTCTCTCTCTCTCTCTCTCTCTCTCTCTCTCTCTCTCTCTCTCTCTCTCTCTCTCTTTCTCTATCTCTCCCCCCCCCTCCTCCCTCCCCCGACGCACACACTCACATGCGCGCGCGGTAGGAAACGCCGCACACTCCGCTGTTATTAGCATGTTTGCCCCCCTCGTTCTATCTGTCTGCCTGTCTCTATCTGCGCCCTCACTTTTTCATACGGACATGAAGATTTAAAGGAAGATTCGCAGGCAAAGGGGAAAAAGGGGTGAGAGAGGAGAGTTGCGGGAGCGGCAGGGGGTAGACGGCAGGGTGGGGGAGGGGAGGGGAGGGGAGGGGAGGGGGGAGGCGGGAGGGAGGATACGTTACCATTGTTGTATAACACGGTACCAACTATTTTAAAGAGTTTAACGATAATATGATCATTATAATACAATCATAATGATGTAATATCGTAATCATAACAATAATCATAATATATATAATGATACCAATGATCATACCTCTGTTCTCGTGCAAGATTGAGGTTCATGAATGGATAGGACAAACTCGACTCGATCGTGATTTGAGCGTTATGGATATATATATGGCGAGGGGTTACCTGAGATATCATACCTGTTGTGCCTTATTATTGTATCGTAATTCTTATGATTTTCAAAATAAGGATATTGTATACTATTTGTAATTTGATATAATATATTATGATATATTATGATATAATGTGACATAATATTAAGATTTATATATGCTTGCTCTACTTGGTCGTCTGTGTGTCAGAGGTATGTTATGTTGTCTGGAATCGCCGGATGACATCTGATATGATAGCGACCAGGGACTAGCTAGATTCTTCAGCCAAACTGAATGCCCCAGCATCCTGCCTGTATTCAGACCGGAAAAGGTCTGCATACATTGGCGATACTTGGGCGTTATGTTCGGGGCAAGAAGGCAGCTTTACGAGCGTGCTGTGACAGGATGTCTCCGCGTGCCGGTAGCCTCATGTAGATAGTGTAATCCTTGCCACATGCGTGCGCCCGACGATACCCTATCTTGTTTTTTTTTTATAATGATAAATTCATAATACAATAATATAGTCATTACTTTTCTGTATACATCGTCATACAGACCTGCCCTTTAAACCGTAGGCAGAGAGGGGGAGGAGGACAACAAACGAGTGGCTGTGACAGACTGTTTGTGCACATGTAGATGTATGTTTACCACTATATACAAATAAATAAATAAATAAATAAATAAATAAATAAATTAATTAATTAATTAATTAATTAATAAATAAATATAGATGTTAGATCTATATGCATATAAACATACTAGATAGATAGATGTGTCTATGTATACAAAACCCTGGTTTTCTACTTGAAACCGATAACGATTCCGACGTCGTCTACGCTGTGCAGAAAAAGAGTGTCATACCAATTCGGTACCGTACGCCAAGAAACTTTCGATTTGCCGATTATTATATGTCAAATTAAGTTTAATTAGCTGGAATTGATTTTCTTTTATGTTGATCGGGATTGCATTCTTCCTGCAACGTGGCGTATGCACAGCTTTTTTTTGGGGGGGTTTGGGGTGGGGTGGGGTGGGGGGGTTGCGGCGGTAGAAAGAGAGGGTCTCATTGCAAAAGAACAATGATGCGACCGGGAAACACAAAGCAAGGCTGCAGTCTATCGCAGTCCCTCTCGTGTTCGAGGCATCCGGTCCTTAAAAAAAAAAAAAAAAATACGTTTTTTAATGGGATTTGCTATGTTTTCCAAAATGGCGTACTTGTCATTCACGACCCGCGGCTCACTCAGGGCACTCTCTCGGGAATGTCGTGAATGTATCTGTCCACATTTGGCGGGCAGATTCAGTAAACGTCGTCGCAGTGTAGGTGTACCCTCAGCTATCACCCCGCGCTATTCCTCTGCTTCGTGATGGTAGAGAACGAGGACGTCAACAAATAAGGAAGAGGGGGAAGGGGGGGGGGGGGGGGGGGGGGTCGCCCCGGGGGGGGGGGGGGGGGGGGGGGAGCTTTGGCGGGGGGGGGGGGGGGCACACGAGGGGAAGAGGTGGGGCGCGCGGGGGGGGGAGCGGAGAAAGCTATGCGCAGGTGGAGAAGCGCCAGAGGACCACAAGCTTTAGCTGGAAAAGTCCCTTGGCCAGGCGCTCTGGCTGTGCCAGC